TTAACCGTCTGTTTACTGATATTTTCTACTATTTTATCGGTTCTTTTGAAGACACATATTTGGATTTTTTCTTGAATTTAATTCAATTTTTTTTGGTCTCAAGGTCCAAGCCGATCAGATCGTGCGATCTCGAGCTGGTCCGATTCTTATCAGACCGCTTCAGCGTAGTCCTCTCCAGATCATGGATCGGGATTGGCATTTCCTTGATTAAAAATAACCAAGAAATAATTTATCAAAAAAGTATATTTCGAAAACTTATTTGTTATGCATTGAACGGCGTTGTTTATATATCCGTGTGTGTTCATAACAAAACGGTGAATGAATAATCGTCATGATTTATCAATGATTTTTGAAAATCAGCTCTTCTTCCATAATCGCGATAAAATCGGATATAATCGTCGATCTTTTGAAGAAATACGATAAATCACGATTTTACGTCAATTTTTTAGAAAATCGCGAAAATCGCGGTGATTTTCAGGACATGGGACTTAACTTGGAGAAAGTTGATGAAACCGTCGACGTGGAGCCATTGATAGTGAATAAGCACGTGTTCGTAGAAGCTGTGAAACTTCCGCTTGTTTCTCTAGATAAATAAAATAATTAGATGAAGAAGAATCATCCTATGCAGAGAAAATTTCTTCGCAGACGTTTTCCCACATAAAAATAAAAATAAAACACCAAATTTAACTTGCATACCCTAGAAGCAAACATTGAAGTGAAGCATTTCGTTGAGAACGACTAGCTGTTCATTCTAGTTTCCAAAGTTTGCTTCTATATCTATATGAAAAAAGCAATTGCATGTGAATGAATTTTCATATTTAGAAAGGAATATTTTGGCTAGTTTTCCCATTACCTAAAAAATGACATAAATTAAAGAAAGATTCTCACTTTTGACTGGATTGATGAAGCAACGGACGTGAAGCAATTGAGTCATAATAAGTATGTGTACGTTTTAATCTTCAAAGTTTTGCTTGTTTACTTTTATAGAAAAATAACATAGTGAAAATAAACTTTTTCATAAACAGAAAAATGTTTTCCATAATTTACCCGATATGTAAAAGAAAACAAATGAAACATTATGTTTAAATTTCATAAGGTTGAAGAAAGCATTGGTGTGAACCATTTGGTTGAATATGAACATTTGTTTCTACCATTTTGGACAGGTACGCTTGTTTATCTAGAAGAAAAACATGATTATATGGAGATGAATCGTTTCATCTAAAAACAAATCGTTCTGATAGTTTTCTCGATACGAAACAAACAAAAACAAAAGAAACGTCATACTTAACTTCGAGAAAGTTGATGAAACCAGCGGCGTAGAGCAATTGATTGTCAATAAGCACGTTGTTGCAGAAATTGCGAGAGTTCCGCTTGTTTCTCTAGATAAATAAAATGATTAAATGAAGAAGAAACGTTCCATGTAGAAAAAACTTATATCAGATAATTTTTTCAATATGTTAAAATAAAATCGAATAAAACATCATACTTAACTATCGTTGGGTTGAAGGAAACATTGATGTGAAGCATTTCGTAGAGAACAACTAGCTATTCATTCTAGTTTCTGAAGACTTGCTTCTGTATATAGAAGAATAAGTTGATCAGATGAAGATGATTCGCGGTATCTAGAAAAAAAATCGTTTGATTTATTTTTTCGATATGAAAGAAATGAAGTCAAATGAATAATTATACTTAACTTCCATTTGGTTCTTGAATTGATTGATATGGAGCTATTTATTGAGAATGAGCACGCGTTCGTATCATTTCTGAAATATTTTATGTTTATATAGATAAAGAAAACGAAAATATGAAAATAATGTTTTTTTTTTTCATATAGAATAGAATCGATAGGATAACTTATGTATCTGCTAGATAAGAAATCAATTGATAAAATATACTTCGTTTTTCAATGGGCTCGTGAAACTATATACATAGAGCAATTTATAGAAAATGAACACGAGTGTTTATTCCATGTTAAGTGTTCACTTATTTATATGAGTCAATAGAAGCATTCGATGAACATGTATCTTTCTATATAGAAATGAATCTTTCAGAACGTTTTCTCGAGTCGCAAAAAGTTTTACAAAATGAAAAATCATATTTCGCATTTAGATTATATGAAGAGGTAGGGTGTCACTGAACAGATACATATAGAAAAAAAATTATGGGAATCATGTAAAATGTTTTAGTCGATTAAGAAAAATAAAGAAAAGTTTTAGGACAAAATGATGCGCTCATAGAGAAGGAATGATATTAATAATTCTCATGACATTAACAAAGTGAAGACAAAATATTAATAATGGCGATCTAATTGAATATGATTGCAATTATGGTGCATGTGACGCGGCTGGTCGAGAAACAGAACTTACTCATATCTCTTCCGGAAGTTGTTTCTTTCATACAAACTAAAAGAGAGGTTTTTTTTGTAAAGTATATCTTCGTTTCGGCTAACGTATAAAGTATCGATACGAAAAGACTAAATGGAAATTGCATGTAATGCTATAGAAAACCACATTTGCTAAAATATGGAAGTAAACTCGAAGATATTTGCTCTTTTTTGATAAGATCATGAAAAATGCCCACTGCTCTCTTCTCGACTCTGAAAAACAGCACGTATTTCTTTCTGTATGGTAAGAAATGCTAGTTTCTATTATTGTGGATTATAATATCAATCAGATCTACATGGTGTTTTTCAAGAGCAACATGAAGTAGCAATGACCTAAAAATTCTCTCAATGAATTTCGTTTTAGAATTTTCATATAAGTTGTTCTGTTGCACTTTACGATGATTGAGTTGAAATAGTTTTGATTTTCAAATTAGATATTATGCTTTGAAATGACGTTATCATTATTTCCCGACAATTCAATATCAGAAACATATTTAAAAAAGTGGCTGATAATCATGAAACAAACTTTCCACTAGTATTTAAGGCTCGTTCTTTGACGATTTGAATTATTTTCCTACTTATAGTTGCGATAAACAAACCATGCAACATTTTAACGATTTGGAGTGATTCTCACTGCTGTTACAAGAAAATGCCTATTTACACGTGTCTTCATGTATTGTTTGGATAACGTCTTTTAACAACTCCCAGTTTCTATTGAATAATAGGTAAAACGTAAAATAAGAAAGGAGTCTGTAGGAATTGCCCTTTTGAAACATATTTGTTTGTGTCACTAACAAGCAATATTCGATTTTGAATCATTCAGTAGAAAAGACACTTATCGACTAGATAATACAAAAATATCTGTAAACTGATTCGAAATTCCTTAGTAAAGAAATAAAAACTAAAACGCGTCCCTAATCAATATTCTTATTAGAAACAAACATTGACTTACTAAGTCTGATGATCATAAATTTAGGATTCTAGTTGTATCTTGCAAGCATCGAAATAAAATACTTCACATAAAAACAACAAGAAATGACACAATGTCTTCGATGTGTCTTAAATAAAAACAAATTAATCGAAAAAACTATAATTTGCACTCTTCCTGTATTTGGCTCAATAATGCTATCAGGTGAAAGAAACTATTTTGATGAAGACTTTAACTTCAACGGAAATATGGACAAATCCTGGATTTCACTCAGCACAGTGCCGATGATTCATCGCACGCTTTCCTTTCAACTTAGTTTTTTATTAATATTCTTAAAATAATTTTGATCTGAAAACGAATCTTCGTTCTCAAAAATATCTGAAGTGAACATTAAAGAAATCGATTCCTACGATGAAGTGATCTTCATTTCATCACAATGTTTGAAAGTTTACTTCATGAGATTCATTCAAAAAACAAACAGATTTTTCGTCGAGAAAACAGAAATTAGTTTGCAGACACTTTAGTTATTAGTGTCGAATCTGAATCCTTATTGAATTTTTTTTCATACAATCATTATTCGATCTAAAGGGATAATGGCTTATATTATTTTTACAATTCTTGTTGCAAATTATCAGAGAGTATGATACTAGCTATTGGAATCGCTCTTTAACAATTGAACTTGGTGTTGACTGATCCATGTCAAACGATTCGATTGTTTACTTCATATATTACAAAGAATTAATTAGCTATATTTTATGAATTTTCATCATCACATCGATTCGTGCCGTTACAAAAGTTGCAGACTTGCCGAACAACTAGATTTTGCAACAACTTTGAATTAAAATAATCTTGTCACTCTCATTACACAGCTTCCATAAAAGAATCGAATACCATGCCCAAAAAACAAGGCTTTTTTCAACTAGAACTTGGCCTTGTGTAGTAGTTTATCTTAACGGGGATAGCTGCATATTTTCAATCAAACTATAGGATTGTTACCCTTCTATTGGCAATTTCCGAAATTCGAGGTTTGAACGTAGAATAATAAATGCATCAAAATTAAGGATAAAATAATCTATGCTTGATTGTAGAATACTAAACGCTTCTAGATTGATTGTAACACGATGTATTTTGTCATGCCAACATCTACTATTTTAGTTTTCATATCCTCTCACGCGCAGGTATCTATCGACTCATAAGCACAAAAATTGGGTCAGTGTATGAATCCAGCTCGTCACATCGAATAATACATTTACGGCGATACAGAATTTAAGATTTTTCTAGGTTCCAAAATAGTGAACCCTTGTGTTAAAAATGTGAATTGCACTGCTACAATGCGTGTAAAATACAAATTGCGATGAAAACATAAAATACGAAAACTAGAAATATTGATCACATCATTTTCTCACTAGAATGCCCTATTGATGCAATAAATATTTTTTGGGTCGTAATTCTTGAAGAATTAACGAAATCTCAATAAACGTTTTAAAAGTCGCTGTGTTCTTCTCAAGTACAGAAAGGACTTATTATACAATTGATTGCTATAGTGTACACCAATCTACCCTGCATCATATAATAATAAACCCTTTTACGATATCGTATAATAATCTACCCTCACAGGTATTTTGATAAACGCTTCTACTGAAAACGGAGAATAATCTACCATTGATCGTAGAATAATGAACCGTTTTGATGACATCGCCTACTGGTCTGTCATCAACAGTATTATAGTAAACGCTTTTTCTGAAAATAGAGAATAATCTACCCTCATTGGTATTATGATAAACGCTTCTACTAAAAATGGAGAATAATCAACTATTGATCGTAGAATAATAAACCCGTTTGGTGAAATCGTGTGCTGATTTACCCTCAAACGTATTATAAAGAACGCTTCCTATGAAATCGGAGAATAATCAACTGTTGGTCGTAGAATAATCAACTCTTTTGATGACCTCATATACTGGTATACTCTGAGCGGTATTATAATAAACGCTTTTTCAGAAAGTGAAGAATAATCAACCGTTGGTCGTAGAATAATGAACCATTTTTACGATATCGTACAATAATCTACCCTCAACAGTATTATAATAAACGCTTCTGTTGAAAATGTAGAATAATCAACCATTGATCGTAGAACAATGAACCTTTTTGATGACATCGCCTACTACTCTGCCATCAACGGTATTATAGTAAACGCTTTTTCTGAAAGTGGAGAATAATCAACCATTGATCGTAGAATAAGATTTGTTTTGCATGAATCGTACAATAATCTACCCCCTGATTGTTGAATAATAAACTGATTTTGGACATACGTATATTAAGCTATACCTATCCGTGTATTAATAAACACTTTGAATAAAATTATGAAATACAAAACCCTTAAAACAGCTTCATATACCCTTTTTATATTCATATACCCTTACGATCACAAACCCTTCGGCTCATGTACCCTTCATAGGGTATATGGCGTGCGCATAAGCCCTTCAAGGGTTTATAGAAAAAAAAATCAAGGGCAAGCGTTCATTATTCTGCCCTTTTTTTTTACAGTGTATAGTGAGAATATTCCTCTTACGGTAAAGTGTTTCCCTTCCTTCCCCCAAATAGAAAATAAAAAAAATTATAAATAAATATTAAGGTTATTTACAACAAAAAACAAATGATTTATCCATAATAATCTCAATATTTATTTATAATTTTTTCAATTTTCTATTTGGGTGAGGGAAGAAGAACACTTTACTATAAGAGGAACATTCTATATGATGAACACTATGTTGACTGTACATTTTCTAATTAGACGGTGGAACACTTTTTTAATGAAAAGGGACACTAGCTTGAATGTATATGTATAGTGCATATACGAAGGAACACCTGCTTAATCAATGCCACCAAGAGCAACAAAACAGGAAAAGAAAAGAAGCGAAGCACTATGTAGCAACGTCGCGATGCGCAAAACGTGATGTCTCGAGAAACTGGTATACATATATGCCAATGACACTTTCGCATAGATGAATAGAGCCTTGAAAAAGCTTATGGGAATTATGGGAATGGGAACGTGGGAATGGGAACAAAAAATTTCTTTTAGGGAATGGAAAAAGGGAATGGGAACAAAAATTTTTTTTTAGGGAATGGGAATAGGGAATGGGAATCAGAAAAAGTCGTTCCCGCAGGACACTAACCCACACCCTCCCAAATAATAAATCTATTGCTTCATTATAAAAACAGATTTAATTAACTTTTTCTATATAGTGAACACAATTTTCTGTCGTGATGTTTTTCTTGTGCATAAAAACTCTTGACGACATGCGTGTCATTTCCAATTGATACATCTGTTTTTGAACCAAAACAGTTAGGTAACTTAATTGCTGATGACATATCCAAGATACCTACTGCTGTTGGTGCTATAAAATTTGTATTAGGAAATGTTTCATTTTATGTGACTCTAATAAGACATTTAATTATAATATATCAGATTGAGGAAAACTACTTGAATCACGTTTGATAGGATTTCGAATAGTTGAACTTGCTCAACAAGTTTATAACCCAAATATTAATGAAACATCATTTTATCTTTTTATTAATAGTCATGTAATATTTCTCAAAGGAAGTAATTTGGTACCATCTGATGCATATCAAAAACAAGTAACTAATGAGAAACTTGAACATTTACTTCGTTCAGCTAAGTTAGGTAATATAAATATGTTACGAATTTGGGATGGTGGTATATATGAACGTGATTTATTTTATGAAAGAGCTGATCATTTAGGCATTATGCTTTAGCATGATTTCATGTTTAAATCTAGTTTGTTAGTGAAACATTTCGTAATCTTTTTCTTCGCAATTTCTTATTTTTTAGGTATCCAGCTGATGAACCATTTCTAACCAATGTTCACAATGAAATGATTTATCAAGTGAAATGACTTTAATCAAATTCATCCATTTATCTTTGACCAGAAAATAAGGAAAGCGAACAAGCTATTGCACAAAATTAGTATCATATACCAGGCGAAAAAATAGTGGCAGTAGAAGATGATGTCGAAAATTATATGGGGGGTATGGATTAAAGAATACGCTCAGACCCACATATGCACTCTGAAAAAGTTGTTTTTACCAGCCGTTAAGGAATCCTAAACCAAACCAAGTCGGCTGTTTACTGTTGTAGGTTGCAACACTGCCACACTCTTATTACATGTGACTTCTTACATAGCAATCAGCAAAATTTTAGACGATTAAGGAGTACTTCATAAGGTGTGTTGTTGACATAAGTCCGTACTCACACTCACAGACATACACACATTGATTGGATATGTCACTACCGTATAGTGAACACAGCAATCGTGCAGAAAGAAATAGAAGAAACGAGAAGTAAACATTTACTTCGCTAAATCACCAGAGAAGATCGACAACACTGTCGACTTACATGTCCTTGCAATAAATTAAGTCATTATTTACTCTATTTCCAACATGCAATAAAAGAGAAACATGTGCATATCTGTCTTTGTGTTAAATTCTTTTTATTGTATCAGTGATAACACCATAGTTTATTTATTTTGGCGACATTGATAGTGAGGCAACTACTGATGTAAGATTCATCGGGCGCATGCAAAAGTATTGATATTAGCACATTGTGAAGACTTTCCTTACTTGTAAACATATTTTACTTTGTTGCTATCATGTGTTTATTAATGTATTGCTCCATGCTTGATGTTCTACCAGTCGAGTTATTCCATATTATTTTCAATTATTTTTGGGCTCATGAGATTCTAATGCTGTTTTCGAATGGTAGTTCTTATGTTGATGCTATTTTAGTCGCTTATGCAAGTATCAAGTAAATTTTCGTTCGATTCTTAAACCTCACTTTGATCTTGTTTGTCGTCATCTTCGACCCGATCAAATTGTTTCATTGATACTTTCTGATTTTGATGATACACCTAGTCAATTCCAGCTTTTCTAATCACAATTTCGAATCGATTCATTTATCCAACTTCGATCACTTACATTAGATAATTATTGAAAAAAATATCTTTGTTGATCATCGTTCAACAGGTGAATATATTCAACCAACATTTTCGACTCTCATTGCACAATTGCGACATCAGATCACTACTCTCTATTCAAATGCCACATCAATTGATAAGATTAAAAATCGATAATAGCAATCCATTAAAATCAGTAGGTCTGCGGTCTATTCTCAATTCTCAATCCACAATATCGTCCTTCGATGTCTTCACTCATATTTGTATAAATACGCCACAGCTTGAATCGCTAAATATTTATTGTGGCGACAGCAATACCAAATTTGCATCATTCATTCAACTACCGCAGTTCACTAATCTTGTTCTCAATATTGAAGGTAGCCATTTCACTTAAAAATGTGAAAGAATGTTAAAAGTCGAAAAGTATTTAATAACTTGAATGCATAGAGAAAGTAGATCTTTTTCAAAGTTTTATTTGCGATTAGAATATTTTGAGCTTTTCTCAACACAATTATTTTAGGATTTTCACTATATCGCGATAATAGTCTTATAAAAACTTGTGAAAAAACCGAACTACACTGCAGTACATATATTATCCTGTCAACAGTATTCAAAGGAATTTCTAGCATGACAATTACTTCATCTTTCAACTTTATATTGTTCGGTTGGATAGCATAGAACTTGCTCTTGCAAGGGATCATGAGATTGAGAACGGAATTTCTTTTTGGGTAGAAAACTGAATTATATCTAAGCTTCAAATATAGTATATTTTCCTTAAATGCAGTTGCTCTCCCCTAATTCGATTATTTATCATATTAGAATGAACTTTAAATTGAAAGAAAACAGTCTACGATGATCCATGTTTCTCGGTTTTCATGTCTATCTAGACTTAAGTGGATAGTACGGCTAGGAAAACATGTTTAATTTATCATCAGTGTTTTTTTAAAATTTCGCATCAATAATTAAAATGCGAACAATTCAGATAGTTTTAGTCAGATGTAAAATTTTTGCTACTGATGATTTACTTGTAGGCCAGTTATAGAAAGTGCCATTGTCTGGGCTCTTTTAGTTCTTAAGGTTATATGTGTAGCCGAATGGAGATCAAGTAAACTCTGAAACGATTCTATAACTTATGACTTGGCAAGATACCGACGATAACGATAAGTAATATTCTTTATGTCAAAAGTTTGTTTTAATTTCGGATCTTTTATGAGAAGATAAAAGTGGATATTAAAGAAAGTCATTTCTTTTAGTGCGTCATTTGTCTATGAATGACATGGAAAGTTTACTCTTAAATTTATCTCGTCTAAAACATTTTGAATTGCATGCTGAAAAAGATGCTATTGATTTAGCCAATGGACAACGATGGGAAAATATCTCTGGTTCACTCGTCACTTTTAACTTTTTATTTTACGTAACACTACCTGAGGGTGGGGTATGGAGGTGGGTGTGGGTATGAGTGTAGATATGGGTGTGGGTGTGGGTGTGGGTGTGGGTGTGGGTGTGGATCAAAGAAAGACTAACACCACACCCACACCCTACAGCCATATCCCACACCCCGGCTGTTTGATTTTTTGCTTTTTTTTGTAAAATATTTAAAAACGAACCTAGTAGATTGTTTCAATGACATTTGATATTTATAGCTTGAAATATGGACGCTGATATTTTACTCGAAAGAAAATATTTTTTTGATCAAATATGCCTTACCATGAAACAGTATTTTGAAGATTATGAATGCTATCGTAACCCACCACTCTAGTAGATTCATGATGTCACAGAGGTCCATAAAATACGAGAGATCGAAATCCAGATAAGTGTAGAAATCAATTTTTTAAGACTACATTTATTTAATATTTTTCCCATAGTTTTAATTGTTAGAGTTGTATTTCCACCCAATATAATGAGTGAATGATAATATCACGAAACAGAATACAGATGCATTATGTTTGGAGCACATCATTTTATAATCGATTTCTTTAACATGCCACTTTCTGTGAATAAAAAGAAAAGGTGTCACTAAAAATCATGGATATATATATAGTGAACTTTATTGCCATATCAATTTTTCAGTTTTCTTCATCTCAATAAATAGATAGACACGTAGAAAGTTTCAATTTTCTCCACTGAAATAAGTTCTATCTATCCAAACAACTCTAGATTCCAATGTACCTAAACATTAGGCTAGTAATTCAGGTGAGACTCAAGCCTGTCAAGCCTATACGTTCCGCCGCCTATGGTTTTGAATATCGATTTTCGTTTATTTCCTACATATGAATAGGAATATGTGCATGGTGATTTGTTTTTGAATATTGTTTTTTGTTTAATTCCTATCATATGAATAGGAATGTTTTGAAAGTGCGGTATAATGTGGGTGTGAGTGTAGGTGGGTGTGGGTGTGGGCGTTAGTCTTGGTGGGTGTGGCTGTGTGCGTGGCTATCGATGCGTATCAATGACATATTCACACTCACACCCACACCCACCCACACCCACACACCCACACCCCACATACCCACACCCCACACACCCACACCCACCCACACCCACCCACACCCACCCACACCCACACACCCACACACCCACACCCCACA